AATATATCTATATCTAGTCTATATATAAATTTCACGACGAATTTAATTGATATATTTTTCATACCTATCTATATCGTAATCGACACGAATACTCGATCAGGCAAAATGATATGTCAAAGCAAATCATCCAGGGGCGAAAGTCGATTTAGCCCTTATCAATTTGAAAAATTCAAATTGATTTCATTGTGAAAATTTGGGGTCTTGAAAACAGAAAATAGTCATCGTCGTATTATTCTGTATTTTGGATACGTACATCTAGGGAATTGGCATGTGAATCGCATTCGAGCCTGTAGGTGGGTCCTGCGAAAGTTGTGACATGGTATGCTCGCAGATGTCGTTTGCAAGGCAGGCCTTCAGCAGAAACGTGTAAGCTCAATTTCCTGATTCTGCATCTTGGATGTCGCTGTTGCTTGATGTGCACTTGAGGCATCATCGCATCGGCCGAAACCGCAGGCCTGTATTCTACGCACTTCCTGCACCATGCGGACAAGCAATCCCAAAGACATCTTCTTGAAAGCTTGAACCGATGCCAATGCATGCAATGGTACAGGAGGACTGACGTTAACCGCACTGTGAGCCAAGTGAATACGATCTGCCTTCGGCAGACTTCTACTGGCCAGTAAATACTTCGCAAGCAAGACAAACACCGTTCACATCAATCCGGGGTTAACGTGGCGTGTCAAGAAAGTCTTAAATTCTTGGCATGGTTCCGCTGCTGACTGCATGCTCTTGTTGCTTTTTGTGATCCTGCTCTCGGGACGTGCTCATGTGCCTAGGCGTGCAGCCTCATGAGGTCTGAGCTTACTACTTCAGGTAGACAAGCACCTGGCAGAGAAGGGAGGGCTCGGCTCTTGAGTCTGGAAAGTCTCACATACGACTAAGCTCTGCGCGACCGTGATGTCGTCCACCACAGCCCCGCCCTCCTCCTCGATCCATCGATCCCAGGACTTAGTGCAGACAGGAGCAACTTCTCGTGCTTGTCTCCCTGCAGCCTGCAGCCCGCCTCCTTTGCAAGAGCGTTCGCTGCCTCCATGGCCTTATAGACTCAGAAGCTTACCAGGGCCTCGCATCCTTTGAGATGCAGTACACTCGCCTTCTTTGAACGAGCCACAGAAAAGCCGCAGAATGTTTGGGGCGAAGTTGCCTATAACAAAACTTGTGGGTGGATGATTCAGACCTTTACTGGGGAGGCATCCAAAGCTTAGAGAGCTGAATCTTGGCTTGCGAAGAATGCAAATTAGCTGCAGTCCCATTTCGAGCGATAGCGCTGGATGCCAGCTTCAAGTATTCAAGTTATGCTTCGCGTTGGGCCCGAGGCTGGGGCGGCTTGCTCAAGTACTAGAGTAGTTATCAAACCCGTTCTTTCTACTTCACCGCTCTGAGTTGCTCACCTGCTCCGGCCCATAGTCACCAACGAGCTTGACGGCCTTGAACAAGAAATGTAATGCAATGTTATGCAATTTCAAAAAACATGTGTTCGCTCTTCTTGTTGACTTGTTGATGTCTTTTCCAAAAGGAACTTTTCTTCCTTCCACGATACTCCGTGGCAACTTCACAGATGAGTTCAACAAAGTCTGTGTCCAGTATGACCGGCTACTCAGAGTTCTACAAACAGCCGTGATGCAAGAAAGACTGATGCCTCTCTGTTACCTCCGGTGTAATCAATGCGCTGCGTCAAATCCTAATTGGGAATCTGATCCTTGCTTGCGTTCGTTACCGAGGCAAGACCTACCGACATGGGTAGCTGTGGGGCACAAAGTCTTGTGCTCAGGTTCAAACTTGGCCGTCTGACCTTGTCCTTGCGGGACGATGTTGCCAGAGCTAGTGCAGCTAGGTCTGCACCGCAGGATGTATGCTCGGGCTTCATATCCAGCATCGCCAAGCCCAGAGAAGGGTTTCTCCACGTGCAACGGCCCACGCTGTGTACGTGCTCCACATCTCCCGATTCCGCTTTGCCAATGTGGTATCCGGCTTCTCCTAAACCCCAAATAGCAAACGTTCAACCGGTGTGACATCCTGAAACCCGAAACTCTGCAGAAAAAATACACAACGTCATGGGGCCCGTGATTTCCAGGTTGTTTGCTGGATGGCATGTGGTTCCTTAGGCCTTTAATGGATGTTCTCTTCTACGCAATCGGACATCTTTTGCTGAAATCATGCCAGTTCAAAGGCACGCCACCAGGGCATGACTTTCTGAAGAATGTAATGCCCTGGCGGCGTGCATGTAACGGTTATTGAAAGGCTTTCATACGATTTTTTGCACTCAGAGTTGTAGACGCTTAAATGCTCCAAAACTTCGATCACTACCAGGAACTAAACCCAGACAACTGCGGGAACGAGTCCCAGATCCCGATGTCGATTCATCGGATGGAATCTCAACAACCCAGAAGCATCGTTTGGCGCACTCTAAACACGAAAAAGGGGGAAATGATTCACAGGTCTTTCAGATTCTGACAACAGAGCCTGGGTGGCAAGTGAAAACAACCTAAGCCTTGACTGCTACATGATGGATGGCAGAGCCCTAAAGGCCCTAAAGCTTCCCGAATTCCAATAAGAGATGGATGACAAACCCGAAGCTTTCAGCCTTAAAGAAGATGGCGAGTGACAGACCCGGCAGAGCCTGAATGGGGATTGGGCCTGCGGGGCCGAAAGCCAAACACTCAACAGAAATAACAGTGGGGAATGATGATGAATGGCAAACCTTCAACCCTGAACGCAACCCTCCCAGAAGACCTAAACCCTAAAGATGATGTTGGATCTAAACCCACAGCTCAAAGAAGTAGGAACTCCCAAAGTGATATCACGACGCCCCCGAGCCATAGCCCTTCTGCTACATCTTGGCTAGGTTTTTTGTTGAGGCCCTTTTTCTGGGCAACATCCAGAGAGCCTGATTTGGCAGGTGTTTGGGCAAAGTTCGTATCCCTTTGCTTACACAAACCCTTGGTTGACCAGGGTTTAGAATTTAGGGTTTCGGGTTTAGGGCAGGATATGTTTGAGTCGCAAGTGTCCCCCCAAATGGTCGAGCAAAAACTTGGTTAACGCATCTAACGCTATGTAGGGCCGTGGGGTAATGGAGTCACAAGCCTTCCGCATTCGAGCAAGAGGTGGTAGCTGGCAAACCCGCCGACCCAAACTTTAGTACAATTTGATGGAACAAGTCCCAACAGGGGTGACTGGTGAAAAAAAACCGTAGCCCTTGTCGGAGATGCTTAGAGCTCAACCATAACACAGACCGAAGCCCGACGCGGACATGACACGCGGCAGGTTTGGCAAACCCGAAGAACCAAACTTCAAGATCAAATGATGTAGAAAGACCGCGACGGCGGCGACTGGCCCAGAACCCCCATGGCTGGAGGTGTTGCGTAGCTCAATTATAACATAGACGCAAACTCGAAAGGTATATGATGCGTGAGAAGTACAATTAGATCATTTTATTTCATTCTTGGCCTGGTTGTAGAAAACCCATAAATTAGCAGCGAATCCTGGCCCTTACAGCCAAATCCTCCAAACATCTCCAAACCAGATTGTGGGTCAAACCCTAATAGGAGATGTTCGGTACGGAACCGAAGCTGCTGAAATGAAACTGAATGATGTCCAAAACATCTCCGAACATAGAAAAGCGTGCTCAGCCGTAAATGTAAAATTTCAAAAAGGAGATGATCAGTGGCAAACCCAACACACTGTAAAGGACCCCAAGAGTTTTAACCCCAATGCCCAATGGCGTCGCACATGTTTGTACACATGTACTTCCCGCAATCCATGATAAAGCCAATATTAATGTATACGTAAATAAGCATACAAACGTGTGTGTACAAACTGACAGACTTGCGATATGTGCAATGACTCATCATGGACCCGCAAAGCCTTTATATGTAACATACAGTAAATCCACGAGCAAACATATTGATACGTAGACCACCAGACAGAAGTATTAACATGTGCGAAGTCACTATGGCCTTGGGGTTTGAAAAGCTCGCGGGAAGGGTTTGGGGTTTGCCACCCACTATCTCCTGTTGAAGAAGCTAAAGGTTCAACAGTCACTTTAGTAGGTGCGGGCATCCTTCAGCCTCGTCAAGGTTCTCCGCGGCAGCCGCTCACGTCAGCAGTTTGTGCTGCTTCAAACGCCAATATCTGGTGCAAGAGTCCAAGGTGTTGGCGGCAAGCCATCTTTGTGACCCGGTTTGGTTTCTCCATGCATCATATCCCCTCTAGGTTTGGGTCTATGATCTGTCACAGCTTCCCGATGTCGTTGCCACCGCTTCTTGTTGCGGATTGGCGACCCAATCTGTCCTACAAACAAAATGCAAAATTTTGATAAGACAGCACTGGCACAAAATTACATATAACTGCATACATATATGTACACAACCACATATACAAATTCGTACTTCATACATGTCATACATAGATATAAGTACGCATATGGATGTGTAGCGATGTTTTCTGTGTCTACACATGCGTATATACGTAGGTTTGGTATACATCTTTGGAGTATCTCGTGGCAGTAATGTGTAAAGACTTTCTCTGTTCTGATCTTCTGATCTTGAGATGTTTGCTCGGTTTGTCAGTAATAGATGTGACTACTTGTGTGCATCTTTTGCGTGGCCAGGTGTTTGCACGGCAGTTGGTACCCATGCCAGAAACAGGACGAACTAGCCTCAAATGACTGAACGAACAATTCGAGAACCTGGGTTGAACCCAGGTTGAACCGCGAGTTCTATTGAACCCAGGTTGAACTGAACCCCCTTAAAAAGTTCCCCAGATTCGAACTCTCCTATGAACAATAAAGGGGGGAAAGGGAACACAATGACCCCTGCACACACAGCTGGCACAGCCCAGTCCCGGAAGCGTGAACCCTGAGCATTTCGGCAGCAGGAGAAGGATGTCATGCCATAGAGGGTGGGGCCGACAGCCGCTACTGCTAACACTTGTCACATGTAATTACGTCCACTGTGTAATCATGGCTTCTCTTGAGTCTCGCATGGGCGGTTGAATCAGGACTACTCGGATCCCAGCAAACGAGTCTGTGCACAGTCAGCACCCGCCTCCAGAGGAGCCACGAACTCCCAAACACCGTCGCTGCAAAGCAGCAGAATCTGGGGCAGTTGTCAAGGCTTCGAAAAGCTGGCCAGCATGACAGATCGCAGCTGGCACCTCGTCTTCAGGATCCAGCTTCCGCTGTGAGACCTGGCAGCCAGGGGGCGCTCGTCTCAAAGACGCGCAAGCCTTCGAGGCCGCTCTTCGTTTGCTAGAACATGCGGCTTTGCATCCTGACGCAGCTCAAACAGAGCCCTGGCCTCGGGAACGGCCGAGATGCCGCAGGACTGCAGCAGCGCGGCACAACTCTCGCTCCGAACGCCCAGAGACATAGAGATCGTGCAATTCAGCAGACTGCAGTACGGAGGGACCTGGTGACCCAGAAGATCGCCAAGGCAGCGCGACATATTCAGCCTTGTTTTGACGTCAGCCACGCAAGCTCAGCTGTCCATCCAGTCCGCTGTCTGAATCCATCGGGGCCGGCACCCCGGGTGGCGAGCATTCCTGCAACAGAACACACTGGCAGAACACTCAAACTGAAGATCATCAGCATCAGCATTCGGTAAAGAGTCCTGGCATAGATCCGGTGATTGGCGTAGCCGTCGAACACCACCATGCCCCTTGCCTGCAAGCCCATGATGCTTGGGAGTGTCGAAAAGGATCAACGACGCTCCAGAGTGCCTTCTCAATGCGAGCCTTCTCGTCCTGCAGCACGGGATGCCAGCAAGTGGTAGAGACCCAAGGGCCAACAGGCCTTGAGGTTGGGCTTGTGATCCCGGGTGAGCTGCTCTGCCTCGAAGTCCGCGGTTCCCTGGGCAAAGAAGCGGAGGAGAAAGGCGGAGGAAAAAAAAAGCGTCGCAGGACCCGACTCCGGCCTTTCTCCGACCCAACACGGAGGAGCTGTCAGCGACATGGGCGACCTCTGGACACGACTCTGCCCGGGGATCCGCTCCTTTGCAGACCGTGCTGAGACGAGCACGGTGATCTCTTTGCTTTCGTGATCGTGCACAACTAGAGTGGCCGTGGTGCCCGACCTGAGACGGAAGCGGCCTACACCGGCGGCCGAGACGTTGGGTCTCCTTGAGCCTTGCACAGGGAGGCATTCAGCTTGCCCATCTTGTCGGAGGCGATGATGAGGTCTTGGGTCTTCTGGAAGTTCTCCTGGGCCCAGGTAACTGGTAGAGCTCCCAACTAAAGGAATCTGTCTCGCGCCTTGAGCATGTCTGGCAATTCGGCTGAGCCCTTTCCGAAACGCTCGTCCTGCCATGGACACAACGACCCCGGAAAGCAGACACTCGCCCGCATCCAGCCGCACCGATTTCTGCAGACTTCAACAGGGCAGAAGCGCCATCAGAATCAGCTTTGGCAGGTTGTCTTTGACAAACTGCGAAACCTTGTGTCCTGTCGCACGTGCGATGCTAAAGCTGCTCTAACTTCTCCAGAAGCCCGGAAACAACCCAGAGCAGAAGATGCACTCGCTGCACTCTAGCCGCGAGTCGCCTGGCCTTTAGACCCGTGGCCATCAAAGACAGCATACAAGGAGAAGTATTGCTCCACCTTCAGGCAGAACCAGGAGTCCTGGCAGGTCCATGAATCCTTTTTGAGGCCCAAGAATGAGCAAAGATCGGTAGGCTCCTGATTTGGACTCTCTGGCTTCAGACCTTTGCGGCCTGGGCGCAAGCCGGCGCAAGAGGGCGCAGGGTCACGAGCTGCGTTTCAAGCGTCAGGGACCATTCAGACTGCTTCCCTTTCCCCGCGGCTGGCCCGTTTTTCCGCTCTCATGCTTGTCATGCTCCAGTCCGAAAAACTGGCAGAAGTTTCTGCTGGCCACCTCGAGCACTTCCAGCGTCCTCAGCCCCTTCGCAACTGCCAAGGTATGGGCAACCTGGAGCTTCCACCAGGGCAAAGTCACGGCCCCAAGCCCCATCCCCTGACCCAAGAGACGGCCGAAGGTTCCAGACAGCACCGCAGTGCGATGCTGAGGCTCAGGCCCAGGGGACGTGACCCGGATGCGAGTCTTGGCCACGGTAGGGAGCCGGCGCCATGTACGGCCCGTCGGTCTCCAAGAGCACGCGGTCAACCGGCAGTACTTTGGCCAGTTCGCGAAGGCCTGCTTAGAAGCTTAGAAGCTTTCGGCGTCCTTCCTGCATTCCGCTCTCTCCTTTCTGCCGCCTCCATCCTTCCAGGACCAAGCCCACGTCAAGGCGCCAGGCACGCTGACATAAGTGTTGGGGCGCCTCGGAAGCGAAACACACCACCAGCAAGAGGTGTGGATGACAACACACACACACACACCTTGTGGACCTTGTGACACCATACCAAGCGATGATTTATCCAATGAAGTCATTGCGGGAAGACCGTGGGAACGATGGCGCTCAGAAGGGAACGGACAGTCTTGGTAACGTCAGAACGACGCTAGCTACTTCCTAAAACCTTAGAATACCCCACGGTCCACGGACCCCCACATTGCATCAACCCTTAAAAACAAAAGGCAAGGCTCTCTGCAAGGAAGGAAAGAAGCATGGACGGGGAGCCCATGAAGGAGTGGAGCTGAACGTAATGCTCACGGGGCACCTCGGGATGTCAGCCACGAACAAGACAGCTCGCAGAAACAAAACAAAAAATGATCGGCCGCCCACATATGCATCCAGGATATGAAACACTTCCTCCTCTGCATCCCTGGAATGAACCACCTCGAGGCGGCAGCTCCAGACTGGGCAGGGGAGGCGCATTTCGGATCTTCCAAGCCCAGAACCAGGGGAATCCCGCGCTTCAGCGCAACGTGTATCTGATTGATGAAAACCTGATTGGCAAGAAGCGTGTCAGAGCACACCTGCTCGCCATGACTGACACACTTTCACCACAAGTGCCTGCCGCATCTGCTGCCGCAGCTCTGGTGCCGCCTCCAACTCATCAGCCCTGACCAATGGAACTAGTAGAGCGAAAACACGTTGCAAACGTGCAAGCGATGGTGTTCGGAGCGAATCATGCTCCCCGCCCCCGGCCCTTGCAAGAGCACACGTATGATTGTACGATTGCCTCTTGTTGAAGTCCAGCCCACACTCGCCCCAGCCGACGCCCTGCGTGCCGCATGCGTCGAGGGCCGCCTCGAGCCGTGCTTGCACCTCCGGCTGCGAGGAAAGAGGAAAAACAGAAGAAATGCGTTGCGTTCCTGCAGCCTCGTGTACTTGCAAGCACGGGCAGAGCACACGTGATGCACGAGCGGAAAGCCGATGCAGTGCCGAAGGAAGAGGTGGTCTCCCACTCACAATCACCCACACGAAGAGCTCCCAACCATGCTGAGTTCGAATCATCCCGTCCAAATCGTGCTCCCGTGTACAGTGGTCAGCAACATCTTGAACAAACTATATGGGTGGGGTCAGATCGAAAGGTCTTGCAAAATGTGGCTTGCTCGTGGCCAAGGCTGCATCGCAGCAAACAAGTGCCACCCCGCTATAGCCCGGAGAAGTCACGTTCCAAAAGCACAAATATTAAACGTATTAGGCAAGCCAAATAAACTTCTTATCCCTCAGTCACAAGTATTTGCCTACCTATCACCGGCACGCACCACCCGAGTGGACAAAGTGCTTCCTAGCAGCTCTTGAAATGTGCGTATGTGTGTGTGTGTATGTGTGTGTGTAGGTGCACCTGGGATGTGTATGCTTCGAAGTCATTCGGATGGATGCCGAAAGTCGCATAGATCCGTCCATCCATCATCTCTCGGCCCCACTTGACAAGCTGCAGCGTGTCCTGCGGAAACGAGATGGTCGCTTATCCCTGCTCAGCTCAAGTCCGCAACGCAAACGCTATCCTGCAATTGCTTGTTTCGCCGGTCCTCAATGACCTCTGCGCTGCAGCAACTTTGAACGATGCCGACAATCCTGGCACCTGCGGCCACAACAGCAACTGAAAGCAGTGCGCTCGTCTGGTGATCAGTCATGGCACAGACCCACCCCAGCAAATTGAAGTCATAAGGCGCCTGGCAGCTTCGCGACTTCGTCTCGGAGAGATGCAAGGTCTTCAGCACGCAGCGCAGGGAAGGAGCGAAGCTTCTCATTCTCATGTGCGAAGAGGCAGCGGGTCTGCTTGCAGTTCGGGAGGAAACCTCGAGTCTGCCACAAACTCGTCCCAGGAACACTAGCAGTTCCTGCCAATGGCTGAGGCATCATCTGCATCGCAATGCTTTCGCATACCATCCGAAGCCGAATCTCCTGGTCAGACTCTTTCAGTCCCTCCAAAGCCGGGTACTGAGCGGTAAGGGGACAAAGCCATGCAGCTAACCTTCACGAACAAGAAGCACTGCGCCAACAGCCACCCTGGGACCCTGGGAGGTTCCCTTCAGATAACTGCAAAAATAGGAAGGTTGGTAATTATACCCCTGTCAACGCCCTTCATTTCCCTGCCTCGTTCGCAGCACCTCCTCCAAATGGATATGTGCGTCGGTGATCGGAAGGTCTCGAGCCGTGCCCTGTCCCGTCACACGCCAACTCGATGAGCACTCCTTTGAACGAAGATCCAACGGCCTTCTCGTCAGGCTCGCTGCTGAAGTACCGAAGCTCCACTGCACCTCGAACGTAAACATTCCAGAAATGGAGTTCTTCGCGAAATGTCGCTTTCCTTTCGTGGGCTTTCGCCCTAACTTTTGCGCGACATGTTTGTAATTGCAGTAGTAGTCGTCGTCGTCGTCGTAGTAGTAGTAGTAGTACTAGTAGTAGTAGTAGTAGTAGCAGCAGCAGTAGCAGTAGCATTAGCAGTAGGAGTAGCAGTAGCAGTAGCTGTAGTAGTAGTAGTAGCAGTAGTAGTAGTAGTATTAGCA